GTGGCAGTGGCATAGTCGGAGTGGGCCAGCGATAAGTGGGGTATATGTCCCTCTAATCTACTCCCTGCCTGGCCTCACAACCCGCGAATCATCCCTTTCTCCTTCTCTCTCTCTCTCTCTCTCTCTCTCTCTCTCTCTCTCTCTCTCTCTCTCTCCCACACACACACACTGGGGGTGATAACGCCCCTTTGCGGCTTGGAAGCTCTCTCTCTGTAACTTGGCCCGACGCTGCTCTTGCTGCTGCTGCTTCTCCCAAGTACGCACTCCGACCGAAAAGCAAGGCACTGCCGCTGTCAGGACTAACTTAATCACAGTACATTAGCGTAAGTGAATGCTGCTCAAAACTAAGACGAGATAATAATTTGGCCGAGAAAGGCGTAGTCTATAGTTTCGTCATTGAGCAAATAATTTTGTGAGTCTGCAACCAAAACGGACGGTGGTGGTGGTAGCGGTGTGCCTCCCTGACCTCGCAGCAGAGTGAGTGTTTATCAGCAGCTGGCCGCGTGGACTCTCTGGCCCTCTGACGGCACCAAATCGCGTTGATTAGTGCTACCCTCTGGGAGGGAGGGAGAGAGGGAGAGAGAGAGATAGAGAGAGAGAGAGAGAGAGAGAGAGAGAGAGAGAGAGAGAGAGAGAGAGGCTGCTCAGCGGCAAAGGGGGCCTCCCTCTGGAAATGAATGGCTTAATGAAGAGAACGAATGGCCCTCCTCCCGGCCACCTGAGCAGCAGCAGCACAACCACCACCACCACAACCAGCAGCACAACCATCGCCACCACCACAACCCCCGGGACAGACGAAGGGGGCGCGCGTGAACAAAACAACCCGCAGACGCGCGTCACTCGCGAGCGTGGGGTTGCGGGGTTATACTTCTTTTGCAAAGCCAGCGTGATAAATTTTACCGTCTCGAGTAAACGTTTACACCACGACAACTAAGTGGGGGGTAGATTCATCATGGCGTTTTGAATATAGCTTAAAAAAAACCGCAGCCTTGCTGAAAACTCGAAGAAACAAAAGCGGGCGGGCACGAATGAAAGGTCATGTTACCCTTTGAAAGCGAGCACGGCATTGATCTTTGAATTGTTTAGCACCCTTCTTCACGCACGACGCTCTAAGCTACGAGGCGGGTTTGCGGGTATATCGGCCATTTCGAGCCCACCACACCGCGCATGGTTGGAGGACCGCGGTATAAGCGCGGCACGACGACTGCGCGGCACCATTCGCCGTGCAAACGAGCAATTACGAACCGGATGATGCGGGCGGGG